TGAATTAGGTGGAGTTTCTAGGGACCATGTGGCATGTACGAGCCAGCACTGCCCTCTCCTGCTGCAGTAGAGATGTACTGGGCCTTTTTATTTAGAGACAGGGTTTTATTAAGTTGCCCAGGCTGACCTCAAACTTTTGATCCTCCTGCTGGGGTCAGGCATGTATCACTGCGCCCTACACCCTCCACTTCCAGGAGGCTGGAGAGACTGCTGAAACCTCAGGCCTGAGCAAGGGAGATGGATCCGCATGTCCCTGTTAGTGTGTAGCAGAGGCAGATGGCCTTGGGCAGGTGCTTGACCTCAGGCCTGAGTTTCTGCCATGGGGAGACCAGTTATTGCATAGGACTGTGGGAGTTTCTGTGGAGTGTGTGGCTCCTCTCAGCCATGGCATCCTTGGGGACTGAGGTTTCTGTCCACTTGTCCAAGGCAGGACAGTTAATGGTTGAGAATGATGTGCGAGGTTAGCGTCCTGGCACAGGCTTGCTTCCCGTCTGGCCCAGCTGTGACTGACCCCACTGTCCTGTGAGCAGGCTGTGTCCCATACCCAGACAGCCTGTGTGCAAGACCTCACACGGACCACCTCTGCCCCTGCCCACAGCCCCAGACCCCGCACCTGGAGGAAGACTTGAAGGAGGTGTTGCGTTCCGAGGCTGGCATTGAGCTCATTATTGAGGATGACACGAGGCCCGAGAAACAGAAGAGGAAGCCCGGAGTGAGTGGTGGGGGTACCCGGTCCCTGTTCCCAGTCTAGGCATGGGGAGCTAGAGCCATGGGGAAGAACTTAGGCCTGGGGACACTTGGTGAAAGTGGGGTGACTTATTGATAAACAGACAAGTGAGGCCCTAGAATTTTACCTGGACCCTCCCCTTCCCCCTGTGAGTGGTAGACTTGTTTGTCCTGTGTTGTGATAGGACTCTTCTGCTGTGGGCCCTAGGCTGGCTGTAGTGGCTGCAGTAGTGACAGGACCTAGTCACACCTTCATAGAGTTCAGCAGGTAGAGTCGCATGCTCAGCGGATATCCCTTGACCATCTGAGTCCCTGTGGGATGAAGGGCAGTAGAAGGGGACTCAGATTCCTAGGGCCTTCTTCAGATAGGAAGAGCTAGCCAGACAAGGGAGAGGGGCCATTGAGCAGGATGGGGCATTGTTTCAGGGAGGCAGAGCAGGGAGACACACCTGGGTGAGGGGCAAGGACTGTTCTCAGGCTGGCACAGATGCCAGGCTTAGTCAGCCTCCTCCTGCTGCACCGCCTGTCTCTGCCAGTCCTGTTTAGGGGCATGCTTGGTGTGATGGAAGCTAGGGTGGGGAGGCTGTGTGTGGCCTCTCAGGGTTGAATAGCAGGCTTCTTAGTAGGCATACGTTCATGTTGTGTCCTGTTCACTATCGCAGTGTCCTGCAGGACGGGGTCCACGTGGGTATGGAATCTGTACCAGGGCTGAGGGGTCCACCCCCTCCCCCCCCGCCATGTTCTTAACAACAAGTCCCCACCAGCTAGACCTCACTCGACTCCAGTGTGGCAGTGCCTGGTTCCATGAAAATCTCTGACAAGGGCCATCAAGGTGCAGACTGTAGGAATCCCTAACCACCTCCTTTCTCCCCAACCACAGCTGCGGAGGAGCCCCATCAAGAAAGTCCGAAAGTCCCTGGCTCTTGACATTGTGGATGAGGATGTGAAGCTGATGATGTCTACACTGCCCAAGGCTCTGTCCTTGGTAAGGGGTCAGCTGTGGCCATTCTGTCTCAGGGCCACAGAGGCTCTTCTGCCCTGGGGAGGGTAGTTTCCCTGGGAGCCTTCTGCCTCTGCAGCTGTTTGGTCAGTGTCAGTTGCAGTTGCGGTGGTCTGTGGATCCTCAGACTGGACTTAGAAGGGCGGGGCCTTGCAGGAAGGGGGAAGGCAGGGAAGGGTGAGTCTGTTTTCTCCCCAACCCCCCGCCCCCTCTGCCCTCCCTGGCTGCACTGGCAGCTCTCTCTCTCACAGGTTTTATTTGGTGGGAGTTGCATTGCTAGAATACCATGGTTTCTAAACCATGAGTCTGGGGTCCCCAGCACCCTCCCTTGCATTATGTAACCCTGCAGAGGGTCAATGATGTGTCTCAAGGCATGGCCAGGTGATTGGGACACATCAGCCCTGGGGTGGGTGCCATCTGGTTCCCAGGCCAATGGGCTTCCTGTGCTAGGTCTGGCTGACCTCAGCTAGGTTAGTGCTTACACAGAATATGGGTCCCCAGAAACCATGTTGTGCTAGTGACCCTTTGTAGCTGAGGATAGGGTGAGCCTGGCCTGTCTTGATCCCCAGTAGGGAGACAGAATAGTAGTGGGTCATGACCAGAGGTTAAGAATCAACTGATCGTGTCTTGAAATTAGACTCTGCTCCTGTGGTCCTTTTCCTGGCAGAAAAGTCTCACTGTGTCTGGGTATGTCTTTTTTTTTTTTTGGTGCTGGAAAAGGGCCTTATGCACGCTGGGCACATACACTATACTGAGATAGGCCTGTGAAATAATTTCCCAAAACACCTGCATCTGGGGTGGGGGGTCCTGGGCTTGAGTCCTGATGCCATCACTTATTCTCTGGGGTCTTCCCTGTAAAAGGGCACTGTACAAGACCAGGTGGACTGTTGGGAGCAAAGGGCCAAGCAGACAGTGAGGCTGGATAGGTGGGAGGGGGGCTTGGTTTGCTGCATCTCTTTGATGTTGGTAAATATTTTTGATACCAGGAAAGCTAGATGGCATGTTGGCCCTGGAGCTCCACAAGACAGGGCCAGCATTTCTGTTGGCTGGGTGCAGGGCTCTGAGAGGGCACTTTGCAAATGCCCTTAAAAGATTGGGTGGATTCATTAAACCACATCTGAAAGAGGAAGTTAACGTCCTTCCCAGAATCTCAGCAGCCAGGAGGTGGCGGTGCCAGGCTGTGATTCTGGGTTTTTCTTCCTGGCTCACTAACAACTTGTAGCTAAATGGTGACTGACTTGGTTTTGATTGCAGCCAACAAATGTCCCATCCAGCTCCTCCAGCCTCTCCTTGCCAGGTGTCAAAGAAGACAACAGCTTGCTCAACCAGGGCTTCCTACAGGCCAAGCCTGAGAAGGTGGTAGCCCAGAAGCCCCGAGGCCACTTTCCAGCCCCTGCCCCTGTGAGTGCTAATCCACCTCCTTTGGGTCTGTTCTGCTGCCTTCTTCACCTCAGGGCCTTTGCACAGTTCTTCTCTCTGCCTGAGTGCTGCCCTGCTGTATGTCTGATACCTTAATGCTGTGATCTCAATCCAGGCATCACTTCCTCGGGGAAGCCTTCTTCGACCTCACTCTGGAGAGACTCTCCTGCCCACAGTCCCCCCTCTGACCTGGGTCTCACTTATAGCTGAGTCATTGGTTTGCTTACTCTTCATCTCTATCCTCACCAACCTCCTGCTTCACAATTGAAACCCACAGACAGGGAGCCACTAACTCAGGGCCCCCCAGGAAAGTCTCAGGACGAGGTGGCTTTCGGATTCTAGAGGGAGAGTCATAGAAATGTCCCAGACCCCCTGACCAGGGCCCCAAAGGTTTGCTGGGAGCATGCTGTCCTGCCTGGATGGTAACCCTCTTGCCTTCTCCCAGATGACCAGCGCCTGGAAGACAGTGGCCTGCAGGGGGACCAGGGATCAGCTCTTCATGCAGGAAAAAGCCCGGCAGCTCCTGGGCCGCCTGAAGCCCAGCCACACATCGCGTACCCTCATCTTGTCCTGAAGGGCCTGGAGGGCATGTACCTGTTTCTCATGTTTACAGGGGTTGGAGGTGGTGGAGGGGTCTGGATTCAAGTCACATTTAAGTGAGACCAACTACAGGGAGCCTTCTGCCACCAGCCCCTCCTCTACTGACTGCTCAGGTGGTGACAGGAGGGCCACACACTATCCTGTCACCAAGTCCTGGTGCTAACAGAACAAAGTCCCACTCCTGGGCCTGCCTGTCCCCTCCCCAGTGCCACAGGGAGCAAGCCTTATTGCCTTCTCCCAAGTTCAGGTCTAGGTCAGGCCTGGCCTCATCTCAGACCCCTGCGTGGGACAGGGGACAGGGCTGGGTGCTCTTTTTCTCAACCTCTGTTGGTACTTTTTCTTGCAAAAATAAAATTGCCTTTCTCCTTGTGCTGCTCTGGACTCTTCTTTCTCTTGGGCCCTCGTCCTCAGAATGCAGTCTTGCCTGTACATCCTGGGCCTAGGTGCTCTGGACCCTTTTCCCCAGAGGGTCTCAGTGATCAGGAAGCAGGTTCTCTTGGCTTTGCTCCCAGTGGGCATCTCTGCCGAGCTCTCAGAACTCTTGGCCCAAAATGGGGTGGGATTGGACAGGATGGGAGAGTGCAGTGGGGTGGTACATTTGAACCTTGCATGACACTGGCTGTGAATTCACCTGGTATCAAACGAGCCATTGCTTTAAGCTGAGCCAAGGATCCAGGTGCTGTTTGAGCATGACCTGGGGCACCTCAGTTCTAGTGGGACTCTGCAGTCATGAAAGAACTTGGTCATGGGGATTGGTCCAGGGTTGGTGTCTTCCTAGACCAATGTGATGTGTCATCCTAAGTGCTGAGGGGCAGAGGCTGGGAGTAGGGGGTAGGAGTGCTGGGTTCTGCCTGGGAGCGGGCAGGTGTTTTCTAGTTAAGATTGTGGATGATGAGTGCCCTGACAGGGTCCAGGTGCTGGCCTGGCATTTGATGGCTAACATGTTCTCCAGGTGACGCTGAGAGGCCAACACAAAAGCCGGGGGCTAGTTCATTCAGTAACGAATAAGTAGCCCAGTGAGTCACTGCTTCCTGCAGCTACATGCTTGGGTGAGTCATATGACTTGCTGCGCCCAATGGGACTTGGAGAATCTGCTGAGGGAGACAAGAATTCCCACTGTCCCAGCTGAGAATGGGAGCAAGGCCATCCCAAACCACCAGCCTCACTTGATGTGGCAGGCCAGAGGGACTGCCCAGCTGATCACAGACTTAGGAGAAATGGTACGTCTGTATGGTTTTGTCTGGTGAAGTTGTGTTGTGGGTGGCTTGTTACACAGCAGAAACTGATAACAGATGCTGGCATGGGGGCTGGGGTGTGGGGCACTTGTGGGGCCCAGGATCAGTCAGTCAAGAGTCTTGGCTTTCCTGGGTCAGGAGAAGACCAGAGCTGATGGCTTGAGCCTGGGTTTGGGCCAGCATGGGGCAGGGGGAGGGGGGAGGCTTGGCTGTGAGAAGCTTGCCTGGAAGAATGGTATTCACCGAGGAAGTCTCCGGGCTTGGTGAAGCAGGGAGGTGACACTCTGGGGGGCTGTTGGGGATAAATGTTAAGGTGTAGGGTATTGGTTTAGGGTAATGTTTGAGACATTGGAGCACATTTCCTTGCATATCTTTCTATTATTAGTGGTTTTTGTCATGTTGGGGATCGAACCTAAGACCTCATGCATACATTTGGTGTTTCAGCCTACCCTGCTCTATATTTGTCTTTTTTTTTTAATTATAAAAAAACTTACATGGAATTTAAATGATATTCATAAATATATAAATCGAAATGGAGAAGCTTCCTCTCAACCTCCATGCCTGTTTTCCTCAGAGGGAAGAACAACTAAGGGCTAATGAGATACTGGATTGTGCAGATGGATGACTTGAGACCTCGGTCAAATGCAGCCTGCGACTCAGGACTCAGGTCTCAGGTGGCCTGAGATGCTGCATTTCTGAGAAGCTCTTAGGTGGTGCAAGCTGGGCATGGCACTTGGTGAACCACTGAGCCAATGGGCTCCCATCCCTTCTGCAGGCTGGGCTCAGTTTTTATGTTCTGTTTTCTTCTTCCTCCTCTTTTTTTACTGCTGGGGATTGAAACAGTGGGGCTTAACCACCGAACCACATCCCTAGCCCTTTTTATTTATTTTTTTAAATTTTGAGACTGGGTCTCACTAAGTTGCTTAGGGCCTTGCTAAGTGGCTGAGGCTGACTCTGAATTTGCAATCCTCCTTGCCGCAGCCTCCGGAGGGATTACAGGCATGCATGACTGTGCCTAGTTTATGTTCTGTTAATTGTGGTGAAAACACATAACAAAAAAATTTTAAAACACAACAACAAAAAATTTTTTTTTCTTAATACTGGGGATTGAACCTAGGGCCTTGTACATGTGAGGCAAGTGCTCTACACCTGAGCTACTAACCCGTCTTTATTCTGAGACAGGGTCTAACTGAGTCGCCCTGACTGGCCTTGATACTCCTGCCTCAGCTTCCTTAGTAGGAATGTGGGACCATACTGGAGTGTGTGACCATACCTGGCTTCCATTTTACTCTAAGTAAAGTCTAGTTCAGCAGAACTCAGGGCAACCAATCTCCAGACCATTTTCATTTTGCAAAATTGAAACTGTACCCATCTAAACAATGTATGCCTGCTCCATCTTCCCTCAGCCCCTGGCAACCACCATTCCACTTCCTGTCTCTGAGTTTGACTATTTTTTTAATTGATTTTATTTTTTAAATACATGACAGTGGACTGAGTTTGACTATTATAGGGACCTCATGTACATGGAATTGCATAGAATTTGTCCTTTAGTGACCGGCTTATTTCACTTAGCAATGTCCTCCAGGTTCATTCCTGTGATAGCATGTATCAGAATTTTCTTCCTTGGGCCAGGTTTGTGGCTCAGTGGTGGAGCACTCGCCTAGCACTGGTTCAATCCTCAGCACTGAGTTCAATCCTCAGCACCACATAAAGATAAATAAATAAAGGTATTCTGTCCATAAATAAATAAATACACACACACACACACACACACACACACACACGCACAGGAACTTCCTTCCTTTGAAGGCTGAGTTTTGTTGTTGTTGTTGTTTTTTGTTTTTGGTACTGGGGATTGAACCCAGGGGCACTCAACCACTGAGACACATCCCCAGCCCTATTTTGTATTTTATTTAGAGACGGTCTCGCTGAATTTCTTAGTGTCTTGCTTTTGCTGAGGCTGGCTTTGAACTCTCAATCCTCCTGCCTCCACCTTCCGAACCCCTGGGATTATAGGCATGGGCCACTGTACCTGACTGAAGGCCGAATCTTATTCCATCGAATGGATATATCACATTCTTGTTTATTGGTCGATCTGTCAATGGCCCTTGGGCTGGTTCAATATTGGGGCCAATGTGAGTAACACTGCTATGAATATGAGTGCACAAATGTCGTCAAGATGCTACTTTTGATTCTTTTGGCAATCAGAAGTCAACTGGTGGGACAGAATAGTTTATGCTTTGCTTCCATTCTGTTTTCAATATTTGCAGGAAGAGCTACATGCTGGTAGATTAGGCTATGCCTCGATGGTGACTCTCTGAGGCCACCTGGTGTCCACTGGTGGCCTTGCAGCAGCAGATTAAACAGGCCATAGAAAGCCCTTGAAACCTTTTCCTGAATTTTAGGCCCCCCTCTTCAGCATTCTTACCAAGAGTTTTCTGGTCTTTGCTTTAACACTTCTGTTAATGGTAGAGGTGACTGTTACTTGATGTCAAGTCCATTTCTGGAAATCAATTGTGAATTCTATGTTTGGAAGGAAAAGAAATCTCCCGCTTGTAATGTCTAGAACAGCAGAAGTAGTTAAGGGTCACAGGAAGCTGGTTCATAGGGAAACTGCTTCCCAGGACAGGTAGACCAGGAGTCGCTTGAGAGGGTGAGCCACTTTCTCAGGGGTCCCCAGAGCAAGTCTGATCTGTTTTATTGTCTCTAAAGATGACAGCAGTGTTGTTTTAAGGCCCTCTAGGTTGAGTTTTGGGTTTTCACCTTTAGCCAGATGTGTTTAAAAGCAATTAAAATTGAGTTTCACTGAGTTGGGAATCAAACTTTTCATTGCTAAGACTAGTGGTCTCACCTAGTCAGGACTAAGGTATGACTTGTGTATTAACTGGTGCCGACCTGCAGGTGTGCAGGTGAAAGTTATGTAATGGTCTCTACCAAGGATGGGCAAGCCTGAGTCACATGCCCCTTGGGAAGGGGTAATTGGAAGGATGTCCGTCTTCTCCATGAGAGCCCCTGCACCCTGCTCAGCCAGCATCAGCACAAGCCTAGTACACAGTCGGTGCCCAGTAATGGTTCTGTCCTGCCAATGGGGCAGAGAAAGTCCTAGGGCAGCCAGGACCAAAGTGGTGGAGAAGGCTTTGTTATTTATTGTTATTAATTTTTAACTTAATTCTACTATAGTCAGGAGACATAGTCTGTTTAGATCCCAGTCTAAAATTTGTTGACTTGCTTCATGGTCAAGCATATGATCAATATTTTAAATTTCTTTTATGCATCTGAAAAGAATGTGGCTAGGGAAGTGTCCCCTTTTTTCTAGGTTAGGTCATTTGTTCATGCTATGTTAAAAATATTCAGTATCCTGTGTTTATTATTTTTCTCTGCTTGTTTTGGGGGACTTAGATTAGCCAGACCTCGAATGATATATGATAAGAATGTTTTAAAAGATTGTATATTGGGATGGTTTTGTTACTTGGCATTATTGTCACAATAACTAGCTGATACAGAAGAGAGACTTGTGTCAACTATAAAACCCTGAGGAAAATGCAGGATGTGTCCTGGGCTCAAACAGATGGGGGAGGATCTTAGGAACCTTGGGGGTTTCTAGAACTTTGCTAGAAACAAGTGGGATAAAGGATTCTGGAATCCAAAGCCATTGTGACTATGCTGTGTCTTGGTTGTTCCTAGGGCTGGAGGCACCTGACGAAAGCAGGGGTCCTGGCCTCTGGTACCCTCCATGCTCCTCCTGGCAGCCCCAGACAGAGCTCTGACTCTGGATCCCATAGACCTGGGTGTGAATCCCAGTGTGGCTATTACTAGTTGTGTGTCTCTTCACTGCATTAGTCCTTGGGTCCTCTGCTATAAAATGGAGAATCCCTAAATTTTCAGAGCTGTTGAAGGGATTCGAGAGAACAGTGACACACACTTGGTGCTCAGATAAATGCAGATAAATAATAAAATAATTTCAGATAAATCATAAAATAAGTTCTAGATATTCTAGATATTAAATTCTAGGACCTGCCCTAGGACCTGCCTTGAAGGGCAGGTACTAGAATATGGCAAGTCAGGACTTGAGCCCAGTCTTGGACCTTAAGGCCAGCACCCCAGTGGGCCCTGTTCTGTGTCATCACTTTTGTCAT